GCACATTTTTGAGATAAAAAAATTTAAACAAGTTAAAAAATTATAAAATTAAATCGAAAGCCCAAAAATAAATTCAAATAGATGTTATTTCGTTTGTTTCGGTAGATTCAACTGGTTTTTGAGTAAAATTAAAGCAAAAGCAAGCAGGGAAACCACAAAATTTGGTCGCAAATGCTTTTAGTTGGACTTTTTGTAATTACAATTATACGACAAAATAGGCAATTTCGATTTTTACACCAAATTTGCCGGAAATATTAAATTTATATTTGAGAGAAGCAAAATACAATCCAAAATACAATAAAATGACGACAGAATTCTGTTATAGCCTTCCTAACGTCGGGCGTTAAACGTTTCTTCTTTGTACATAATTAAAAATAACTATTAAGCACGTTTCTTCTTCTTCTTAATTCTTTTGTAGACCTCAACTGCTGGATAAGCACGTTTTTTGTTCTAAAATCTGAAATTTTGTGTGAGATACCGCCAAAACAAACCAAAAAATCAAACAAATTAATTTGAAAATTATATTATTTTTGCACATCTTAAACATTTTAGCACTTTATCAGCTAAAAATGCAATTATTTTGTAAAATTTTGTCAAAAATAAACCGAAAAAGCACAGAATTAGGCCAAAAATGATGTCACTTTAGATTTTTTCGAAAATTTTTTTTGGCTGAAAACTCTGAGAACTCTAAATTGTTAGAAAAAGAGATTGGATCATATTTTTACGTAACTCCTTGTTTTAACCACTCAGTTTATGTAAAAACGTAAACTTTCGACACTATTGGAAAGATTCAAGTCGTAGTCTTTAATCTGGTGAATTTTATTTTTTTGGGCTGGGAACACTGATTGCTAAAATAAAGATATCCAGCCACTACAGTTACTGAGCAATAAACAAATAAACTGTCAAAATTGAAAAAACTTTTGTTACAACTTTAAAAATTTATATTTACTACATTTTGGAAATGATTGTTGTGTAAATGGCAGATCCACTTATAGCGAGGCCACTCTGTATATCCATTATGTTTTGTGAATGGCCCATCAGCAAAGTTTCGCCTCTGTTTATTTTTACCTCCAAGTATTTCATAATTCCCTAATTGGCCGTCTTCCAAAAACTATGAGGTTATTCAAGTAATTAAGTACAATATTTCCCGAATACGTATTATCACTCCATCAAACATAATTCTAAGAAAACCACCTGTTTTGCTACAAATGAGTCGTCTGTTTTGCAAACGCCCCGCTGAAAAAACCGACCTAGTGCGAGCAATTTCGCTGAAATCGTGGCTGTTTACACGACTGAAAGTGCTGAAATATCGATGGCGTTGGTGGGGCAGTTTTTCGCGAATTCTAACTCAGTCACAGACAGGTATTCATTAAGAGCGGTGATTAGCGATCATGATTTTGTCGAGGACCCCTTCCAGGGAGCATTTTGCCCCGAACGAAAGCGCCAAGTTGTGGGTAAGCCTCTTGATAAGCGAGCATTTTAGAATAGACACCCACTCGAGCGATCTCGATATTTTCGAATTGGGTTAATTCTCACAAATGGCGTATTTTTAGGCCGGATGTTTGGGTTTTTTGATAGATGGTCGCCGTTTTTCGAATTTTTGATGGGTGGTTACGTCACCCATCTGTTCTAGAATTTACCAAAATAAACTCACTCTGGAATTGCGTCGGTGCGGCGGATTTTTCTGGAATTTCGCGTCTTTGACAAACTAAATTTCAAAATCTAGTAATCTTAAGCTTTAAGGTTGGTACGATGCCCCAAAAAAGGAACATCAAATTTTTGATAGTTCACTGTAAATCAAGCTTTAACGTCAAATTTGACTTTTCAAAACCTCCAAAATGTCAAATGTCACTGACAAATTGACTGTATCTTTGAAGCTAAACAAATAAAAGTTTATTTCTTGAATCCTGGACGTGTAGGGAGATTGTTTCTAGGGCAATAGTTGCTATGAAAAATGTGTGTCGTTTCGTAATGGTTTTAACAATTGTAGTCAACATTTCTGTAATTTAATCTGTTCTAACCTCACTTTTTGTGTACTTCAAAGTATGTTTACAGCGTTGCCAGAATGTTGCAAACGATAAGTATCAAATGGAGTGGATAGATCGTACCAAAACAAAACAAAATAAAAAGTATTAACATTCACATAATGTGTATTTGGCTGAGAATATAAATTATTATTTGTTTACAAGTAAATACAGGTGTTCCGTTTTTATTGTTACAAATTTAAACAGGTGATAGGATATTCAATTCTAAGACAAAAATTTTCTATAAACATGTATCGAAAAATGCTTGGTAAGGGAGCTACACCCCCTGAAAGGGGGCTAATAGGTTTTTGCTAATATTTCAGAAACCATTTAAGATAAAATTACAAAATTTGGTACAGATGATAATCTTTATACACCTAAACGAATTCAAACATCAAATGTCAAAATTTTTTATCAGGGGCGTACGAAACTGGTGGGGTTTAGGGTAAAAAAATATCCTAACTGTTTTGGCTCTAGTTTCTTTAGTTATGCATTAACCAAAATGGTGCTCACTTTGAACAACTCCTTTAGATTTAGGCAAATTCATTTAATTAATGTTATTATTGTTACTGTAATGTAATGTTAATTGGTTGATGTTGATTAAAAAATATGAATTTCTTGCTTTTATTATTCTGTAAATTATGATTTATTTGAATGTTGTATTGGTGTGTAACATAAATTTTAAATTAATTTTATTCAAAAACAATAAGTCGTATCGACACAAGAGAGACTTTTCTGTGATAAACTATCGAACTTAAGATTTTGTTGCTGAAAGTACGGAAAAACTAAAGCCAAAATAAATATGGTATTTTTTTACCTTAAACTCCCCCAGTTTCGTACATCCCTGATTAAAAATTTTAACATTTGATGTTTGAATTCGTAAAGGTTATCATCTGTACCAAATTTTGTAATTTTATCTTAAATAGTTTCTGAAATATTAGCAAAAACATATTAGCCCCCTTCCAGGGGGTGTAACTCCCTTACCACGCATTTTTCGATACATGTTTATAGGAAACTTTTGTCTTAGAATTAAATATCCAGTCACCTGTTTAAATTTGTAACAATAAAAATGGAACAGCCTGTATAAATATATAGTAAAAAAATGTAGTATCAATTTGGTACTATAGTATCACAACTGGCAACACTGTATGTTTAGCTTCAGCACAGTCTCGTCTGTGACGTCACGACTAATAGCGTGTATTAAGTTGCTAAGGGCTGTTTTACATTCTATATCAAGATAAAGCAAATATTTAAAGTTATTAAAATAATGCGTTAATTTTTTTCAGTTCTCAACACATTGTTATTATCACTAATTATCAATTTACCAAAAATAGAAGACACAATTTATTTGAAAAAAAATCTAGGATGGCAATAGTCTTGCCAACCGATTTTTGTTCTGTTTTTCCCACTGTATCTGTGACGCCGCCCTCTGTTGTAGCCTTACCGTACCACCCCTCTGGTACTCCCCGGAGCCAAAGTGAAGCGTGAACCCGGCCCAACGGAGAGTTATTTACGCCACCACCCCAACCCCGCCGTAAGGGCGCCCCCACACCACCTTGATCCCGAACTTTTAATCAAACAAAAGGTGACCAACGTGTTTAACCACTCTTTAAACTAACCTTATTTTTTGACAACAAACTGATTTTTTGTTTAAAACAGGTTACCAACACAGTTTTGGAAAGATTAGCTACCAACGATCCGAATAAACAGGTTATTATATTTTTGTTTTGTTTTTTGAAAAGTGTCAAAACTGGACGAGACACTATCTTTGCTAATTTTTTTGTTTTGTTATTGGAATTTTTTCTCATTTGGATTTTTTTGTAGATTGTCCACAAGCAATTCAACTCCCCGATCAATTTATACAGCGAGCCAAACATTGCTGACACCATTCAAAAACAAACTGGCATAAATCCGTAAGTTATGACGCTATTTCTGGTTTTGTCCCCATTCTGACTTTTTTGAAATTGACAAGTGTCGCCAACATAAAAGAAAAAAACTAGATACACGTTTTGTCGGACTTGAGAACATTTAATTAAAATAAAGAGTGTGGCAGCGTGCCAACTTGATAAAATATTGAAGAATGCATAAAGAAGGTCAGTTAAATTTTATTAAATACATGACGCGCAAAATTAGTGTTTATATGGTTGGCAATACCGAAAAAATGTGTGCATTGGAGCCAAGGTCAGGTGTGCTATTTTCGTCCAGGTGCCCACCCTGATTGAAACCACAAATTTCACATAAACTCTGCAAAAATAAACTTTTCATTTAAGAAGAAATGAAATAGATCAAGGTCAACATGTGTTTTTTGTCAAGCAAATGTTTAAGTGGGCGTGCCCTAGCCACGCCCATTTGTTTATTTTCACCGAAAACTTCAGTCTGAAGTTGGAGTTTTGTGGTTCAGTGACCTGTCACATAATCACTTTGACACTTAATTTTTTGATAAAACTGAAAATAGCAGATTTGGATACGGTCCAAAACACATCAGAAAAAAGTCTATAGAATATTACATACATATAATAAAGCGTATACACAAAGTGTTTTTGGTTTTACCTTGAATTTAAGTAACATTATGCGCACCTAACTAAAATTTTATCGATCTGGCCGCGGTCCCAAATGGCCCAATTCCAAATGTTCATGATCTTGTGTACTTGCAAGAAAACTTGTCGATGAAAGCAAATTCCATTTCGTTTAAAGCTCAAGATCATCGACCAAAATGCTTGGAAAAATACACTTTTGTTGATTTCTAGAATTCGCAAACAAGTCAAGTTCAATCCGGCCGAAAGTGAAACCTACAAAGCCCTCCAAGAGGAGCAGTTGGGCGAAACGGTTCAAGAAGTGAATGTTCCACCCCAAAGCCGCATCTATGCTCCCAACAAGACAATCCCGGCCAAGGTAAACAGCAATAATTAGCACCGCTTCTTGCCAAGTACGTCACTGCTGCTTTTGCAACGCTGCAACGTAGTGCGAGTCTGTGTTTAATTCCACCAAAACCCACTTTCAGATAATGGTGCTGAAATTAAGTTGGCATGACTGTAAATAACGTCGAGTTGGCAACATTGACTATCAAACTCAAACGTCACAATTTCATAGTCAACTGTCATTCATTCCAATGGCGACTACTTCAAACAACCCAGTCATATTATTCAATGTTGCCAACTGTATCAAGATAATGACCCGGCGCATCCACCATATTCATTAAATTTCTAGTTAAAATAGCCTGCGATGTAGAAATCAGTTGGCAACATTGACTATCAAACTCAAATGTCACAATTTTATAGTCAACTGTCATTCCCTACCGACGGGCAGCTGCTGGCATAGCCGGCACTTGAAACAACCTAATCAGTAATCATTAATAATTCAATGTTGCCAATAGATTTTTTCTTGTCTCTACCTTGTTCAATGTTGCCAACTATAATAACCCGACCATCCATCATGTTGAATAAATTTCTAATAAAATAGCCTGCGATATTGAAATCAGTTTTATTGCCAATTGATAATATTCCGTCGCATCCACCACCCTTAATTAAATTTCTGGTCAAGAAGCCTGTGATATTGAAATCAAGTTGGCAACATTGACTATTTATTACGACGGGCCGCCGCTTTAAACAACCCATTCACCAAGAATTCAGTGTGGTTTTCACATCATTCAATGTTGCCAACTGCCAACTCATAATAACCCAGCGCATCCACCATCTTCGATTAAATTTCTGGTTAAAGCAACCTGCGATATACAGGGTGCACCAGAACTCGCGCCCCAGAGAAAAATGCCATGTAAGGTAGATACCAGGAACATGGAAAAATGTTAAAAATTCTATCTATAAAAATTTTGAAGTTATGAGAGTTTAAATTTTGCACCATGATTTTATTTATTTCTGTTTGAAAAATAGTTTTCCAAGTTTTTTTGCTACAGGCTATTAGAAGAGGATACAAGGAAGCTCTATCCTTAATTGTAACTCTGTTTAATGTTATTTGTGGCTTTTATTGGCAATTTTTTTTTATTTTTACTAAATAATTATAAAAAAACATAACAATATCATCAAATATCATTAAATAGACATGAAAAAATGTCAAATGTCAAAATTTTTTGAAAGAGAATTTTTTAAACATTTTTTTCATGTTCCTGGTATCTTATCTTACTTGAATTTTTTCTCTGGGGCGCGAGTTCTGACGCACCCTGTATAAATCATTTGGCAATATTGACTCTCAAACTCAAATGTCAAAATTTTATAGTCAGCTGTCATTCATTTCCGACGCACAGTGGGACGGAAAGCACCAAAAGAGCGACATCGCAACGGCTCAAATTAAAATTGTATTTTATAACTTAAAAGACTAGAAAAATTGATTTATAAAAACCTTCCAAAGTATGTGAGAAAGCAGTGAATTAAGCGAAAATAGATTTCCTGCCATTTTCCTCAAATAGTTGATTTGAAGTCCTGCTAATTTTGTGGAATTTTGGATGATTGTTGATTATTATTCTACGCCATTCAAAAAAATATACCAGGTGAATAAAAAGTATGGAACCAAACGTTTTTTGCTTAAACTATTTATTTTTTGAAAAAACTAATTGATGAGTGATAAAGTACTATAGAAAGGTGATAATTTAGCAAGAATAAAATTTTTCGAGATTTTCTTTTGTTTTTGAGTTCTACAAAAAAATTTTTTTTTTAATGGCAACCCACTATAAAATCATTTTTCTCATAAAAGCTATACTCCAAGGATTACAACTATCCGCTTTATATTTAATTTTTTCAAAAAAATTTTTACACATAAATTGCCAATTTTGACAAAAAAATGGCATAGCTCAAAAACAAAACAAAATTTCGTTCTGAAAATACGGTCACATTTTTTATATTACTTTATTTTATATTAATTATTATTTGCTGGAGGCAAATGATTAAAAATAAAACCGCTTGGTTCCATACTTTATATTCACCCTGTATATATATTTCCAGAAAGTGTTTTATATTTCACTGTTTTCCATTTTTGGTTATAAAAATATGTTTTTTAATGGCATTTTCACAAAGACATCACTTTAAAAAAAGTCCCATGTTGTTCGGGAAAACGGACTTTGTGCTCTTTTTCTCTAGGTGTTAAGTGAGAGAAATTCATAATAATCACATCCGCCGCAATCCGCCTAGGGTTGGTATGACATATTTGAAGTCTGAAGTCGTGATCATAATATCAAAAATGGACTGCCTCACTAATTTTTAATCTTGAAAAAATGTATGTTCAAGTAAAACTACGTTGATTAGGATTGTGAAGATGATTTTTTGATGGATTAAATCGCATTAGGGGCGTCCTAAACTAGAGGAGTATAGGGTAAAACAAATTTAATTTTAAATTTTTATGATGTGTATACAGGGTGCGCCAGAACTCGCACCCCAGAGAAAAATTTCAAGTAAGATAAGATACCAGGAACATGGAAAAAATATTTAAAAAATTCTTTTTGACATTTATTTTTTGACATTTGACATTTTTTATGTCTATTTAATGATACTGATGATCCTGTATATGTTTTTTTTTACAATTATTTAATAAAGGTACAAAAATTTTGCCAATAAAAGCCACAAATAACATTAAACAGACTTACCATTTAGGATACAGCTTCCTTGTTTCCTCTTTAAATAGCCTATAGCAAAAAAAACTTGGAAAATTATTTTTCCAAGAGAAATAAATAGAGTCAAAGTGCAAACTTTAAACACTCATAACTTCGAAATTTTTATAGATAAAATTTTTTTAACATTTTTCCATGTTCCTGGTATCTTACCTTATATGGCATTTTTCTCTGGGGCGCGAGTTCTGGCGCACCCTGTATTCTGTAAATTTATAACAATTAAAGTGTTTCTTTATTTAATATTTTTTAATTCTCTCACATATTATCAAACTTCCAACGAAAATAAAATCAGAAATTCTGGATAAAATAGGGTACCCATTTATAGAAAAAAATACATGTAGAAATGTGTGTAGATAGATACAAGGATACAAGGTTTGAGCCAAATTTTCTTAATGTTCTTAATTTTCGTGAAAATTTCATATTCGTGTTCCTCATTCCTGAAAATATAGGAACAACCTAATCACTACAATAATTCATTGTTATCAATAGATTTTTTTTAATGTTGCCAACTCAATTTTAGTCACAGGCCACTTTCCAAAATGCATGGTGCTTCTTCAAACTTTTGTTTAGTCCAGTTTGTGTTTTTTCCTGTGTTGGAATTGATTTTTTTTCCAGAAATCGTCCCATCACGTTGTCAACCAGAACCCATCCTTCAGCAACTCCCTCGGCGAGCCTGAAGTGATTCAACAGAGCGGATCGTTCAAAAGGCTGATGTGGAGCGTCCTTCCTGAAAGCAGCTACTAATCGCTGAAAAAAATTCATCCCCGAACTGAAACGACGAATATTTTAGAAATGTTCGAATTTAGTTTTAGGAAAATATCTATCAAATTTGATCGTGCAAATACGTAGAGCCCTTTTAACATCCGATTAATTTGACAGGTGTTACCCGAATGAAATACTTTTTCTTATTTTGAGCTTAGCTTAAGATGTATGTTGCTTAAAAGTCGACGTCTTGCGATTTGTGTTGAGTCAAGTTGCAACGATCCACGACGAAATTTTTTTTCGTTGTATTATATTTTTCAATTTTATTAAACGAGTGAATCTAGTCAGATATGTAGGTAGGTTAGAACTCTTAACGTTCACTAAGTCGTAATTATAGAAGGATTGTTATTTTTGTGCCATAATTTATATATCAAATAAACATATTTCTGTAAAGCACCCGATTTTCAATGAAACACAATTCTTGCACAAAACAGTTTATTGGAAAAATATTTATGAGTATTCAGAATTGAGCGTTCTTCCAATGAGCAGTCTTCGAATTTCGGACGTCCCGGCGCCGATTTCGTACAATTTGGCGTCTCGGAGAAGTCTTCCGGTTGGGTAATCGTTGATGTAACCGTTGCCACCTCAAATAAATTGGCAATGTACTCTTTTTCATTTTAATGTGCATCAAGTAGGTTGTAGAAGTCTAAATGCTTCTTTAAATTAGAGGCCGATTCACACAAAAAGTGTCATTAATGTCATTCAGAACAAATCTAATCACATTAATAATGACAAAAATCTTTATGTTTTCCACCCTATATTCATTAGATACGTTGTCAATTTTAATTATTTTTGCTACCTATTATTTGAGAAAATAATTTTTAGGGAAGATTGAGGTTGGGATTGTTTGAATTTTCGCATGGTTGCCACCTTAAAATGCTCACTTTCAACGACTACTTCGATGCACATTAATATGAAAACGATTATACAGGGCTGTTCCGTTTTTATTGTTACAAATTTAAACAGGTGATAGGATATTCAATTCTAAGACAAAGCTTCCTATAAACATGTATCGAAAAATGACTGGTAAGGGAGCTACCCCCCTGGAAGGGGGCTAATAGGTTTTTGCTAATATTTCAGAAACCATTTAAGATAAAATTACAAAATTTGGTACAGATGATAACGTTTATACATCTAAACGAATTCAAACATCAAATGTAGAAATTTTTAATCAGGGGCGTACGAAACTGGTGGGGTTTAGGGTAAAAAAATACCCTATCTATTTTGGCTTTAGTTTCTTTAGTTATGCGTTGACCAAAATGGTGGTCACTTTGAAAACTCCTTTAGATTTAGGCAAATTCATTTAATTAATGTTATTATTGTTACTATAATGTAATGTTAATTAGTTGAGGTTGATTAAAAAATATAAATTTCTTGCTTTTATTATTCTGTAAATTCTGATTTATTTGAATGTTGTATTGGTGTGTAACATAAATTTTAAATTAATTTTATTCACAAACAATAAGAGACTTTTCTGTGATAAACTATCGAATTTAAAATTTTGTTGCTGAAAGTACCGAGAAACTAAAGCTAAAATAAATAAGGTATTTTTTTACCTTAAACTCCCCCCAGTTTCGTACGCCCCTGATTAAAAATTTCGACATTTGATGTTTGAATTCGTTTAGGTGTATAAAGGTTATCATCTGTACCAAATTTTGTAATTTTATCTTAAATGGTTTCTGAAATATTTGCAAAAATATATTAGCCCCCTTCCAGGGGGTGTAGCTCCCTTACCAAGGATTTTTCGAAACATGTTTATAGGAAACTTTTGTCTTAGAATTGAAAATCCTATCACCTGTTTAAATTTGTAACAATAAAAACGGAACATCCTGTATGTGAAATTGGCACCGTTGCCAACTTACCTAATATTTGCACCGCATCCAAAGCCATCTGAGTCGCTTTCTCAGCACAGTATAGAATGACTCCAGCGCAGTCCTTGCTGTTGACTTTCTTGTTATCGCAAGCTTTGGCAACGTTGTACAAGTAACTTCGACACGCCCCTAGCGTGGTGTACATGTCGGCCATTTTCCCCTACATTCAAGATCGCCAATGTTGCCAACTTAATAAATTTGAATCACTGACCTGTATGAGTTGGAATTCGCCAATCCTGGTCTGGAATTGCTTCCTCACGTGGGCATACGAGAAAGTGATATCGCAGCAAGCTTGCATGATCCCCAAGGGCCCCCCCGCCAAGACAAGTCTCTCCAAATCCAACCCACTCATCAAAACGTACACCCCTTTATTTTCCGCCCCTAATAGATTCTCCTTGGGGACTTTACAATCCTCGAAAATCAGCTCGCTGGTGTTTGAACCCCTCATCCCCAGCTTGTCCAATTTGGGGCCGGCTTTGAACCCCGGGAATGTCTTTTCGATGATGAAGGCCGAAATGCCGTGTTGGGGCTTCTTGGCGTGGGGGTCGGTCACGGCGTAGACGACGAGCACGTCGGCGTCGGGGCCGTTCGTGATCCAGAATTTGGTGCCGTTGAGGATGTAAAAATCGCCCTTTTTCTCGGCGCGGAGCTTCATGGAGACGACGTCCGAGCCGGAGTTGGGCTCGGACATGGCGAGGGCCCCCATGTGCTCGCCGGAACAGAGCTAAGAGGTGGTTAAAACGGTGATTGGGACGTGGAGAAGAGGCTTACCTTCGGGAGGTACTTTTGTTTTTGGGCTTCGGTGCCGTTGCGGTGGATTTGGTTGACGCAGAGGTTTGAATGGGCACCGTAGCTGAGGGCTATGGCGGAGCAAGCACGGGAGAGTTCTTCCATGATGACCACGTGGTCGGTGTAAGAGCCCCCCGTGCCCCCGTATTCGGGGTTAACAGTTATTCCTGTAACGGTGATTCTAATTATTAATAATTTACTTTTATTTTTCAAAATATGTATTTAAAACTCCGGTGAGTGAATGTAAAGCAAGCTTTAACGTCAAATTTGACTTTTCAAAATTCCCTAAACGTCAAAACATAACATGACATTAAATTGAAAGTGACGTTACTATCTAAGGGCTATTTTACGTTGTCAATAACCTTTATGTCCCATTTTTTGCCAATGTGAAAAACGTTGTTTTGACATTTAAAATTGAAAGCCGTCATCCGACTTTTCATAAAGTTAAAAGAGGCACAAAAAATAAAGCATCAAATTTTTGACACTAGGAAAATTTACTGTGAAGCAAGCTTTAACGTCAAATTTGACTTTAGAAAATTTCCAAAACGTCAAAATGACAAAAATCACGTGACATTAAATTGAAAGTAGCTGAGGGCTAGCACGGGAGAGTTCTTCCATGATGACCACGTGGTCGGTGAAAGAGCCCCCAGTGCCCCCGTATTCGGGATTAACAGTTATTCCTGTAAAAGTGATTCTAATTATAAATAATTTACTTTTATTTTTCAAAATATGTATAAAAACTCTGGTGAGTGAGTGTACAGTTGGAGACGAAATACTTTGGTCGTCACTTTTCTGACGCTTTAATGTAATTCAAGCTTTAACGTTAAAATGAATGACAATTTCAAATTAATGACAGCTAATATATTTTACTATCAAAAATGTGTACATACAACTTGTCATCTATGAGTGACAGTAGCTAAAAATAAGGTTAACAGTCCTAAAGCATGCTTTACAATTTAATGTCACTTAAGTGACATTGACGACCAAAGTATTTTGTCTCCAACTGTAAAGCAAGCTTTAACGTCAAAATTGACTTTAGAAAATTTCCAAAACGTCAAAATGACAAAAATCACGTGACATTAAATTGAAAGTAACTGAGGGCTATGGCGGAGCAAGCACGGGAGAGTTCTTCCATGATGACCACGTGGTCGGTGTAAGAGCCACCCGTGCCCCCGTATTCGGGGTTAACAGTTATTCCTGTAACGTTGATTCTAATTATAAATAATGTACTTTTAATTTTCAAAATATGTATTAAAAACTCCGGTGAGTGAGTGTAAAGCAAGTTTTAACGTCAAAATTGACTTTTCAAAATTCCCAAAACGTCAAAACATAACATGACATTAAATTGAAAGTGACGTTACTATCTAAGGGCCGTTTTACGTTGTCAATAACCTTTGTGTCCCATTTTTTGTCAATGTGAAAAAAAAACATTGTTTTGACATTTAAACTTAAAAGGCGTCATCCGACTTTTCGTAAAGTTAAAAGAGGCACAAAAAATAAAGCATCAAATTTTTAACATTTTATGAAAATTTACTGTGAAGCAGCTTTAACGTCAAATTTGACTTTAGAAAATTTCAAAAACGTCAAAATGACAAAACATCACGTGACATTAAATGGAAAGTGAGGTTGCTATCTAAGAACCGTTTTACATTATTAATGTCGATAGAATGACCTTTCTGCCCCATATTTTACCTACCACGTAAAAATAATTTTTGATAAACATTTATCAAAGATATTTCAAAATTTTTATAAATAATGTATTAACCATACAACACTTACCTAAAACGCCCAAATCTCCGAGTTTTTTCCAAAAATTCCTCAGATCACTAAATGCATTCTTCTTATCGATTTCATTCGCCCTGGGAGCTAGTTCTTTTTGTGTAAAATTAAATACCGTTTCTCGTAGCTATAACCAAAAAATCAGTCATTGTTTTTGATTCATACTGTATACTTATGGCAACAAATTATCAAGTATTTTTGATTAGTAAAAATAATAAATGCACAGCAAAAATAATAAATGCTCAATAAAATAAAAAATGCACAGTAAAAATAATAAATGCACAGTAAAAATATTAAATACACAGTAAAAATAGTAAATGTACAGTAAAGGAAACGAATGAATGTCTAGTAAAACTAATTCATTTAATATTCACTCATTTACAAAAAAATGTTTCCGAGCAAAACTGGAATGTTGCACGATGATTAAACTGATTATTATCATTTGTGCACAATTTTCAGCTCTTGCTAAAATCATTCTTGCGTAGGGGCCCTTGCTAATATGTACATACAGGCTGCGCCAGAACTCGCGCCCCAGAGAAAAATTTCAAGTTAGATAAGATTCCAGGAACATGGAAAAAATGTTTAAAAAATTCTATCTGTCAAAAAATTTTGACATTTATTTTTTGACATTTGACTTTTTTATGTCTATTTAATGATACTGATGATCTTGTATATGTTTTTTACAATTATCTAGTAAAGATACAAAAATTTTGCCAATAAAAGCCACAAATAACATTGAACAGAGTTACAATTTAGGATACAACTTCCTTGTTTCCTCTTTTAATAGCCTATAGCAAAAAAACTTGGAAAATTATTTTTCCAAAAGAAATAAAGAGAGTCAAAGTGCAAAACTTAAATTCTCATAATTTCAAAATTTTTATAGAGAAAATTTTTTTAACATTTTTTCCTTATGTCATTTTCTCTTGGGCGCGAGTTCTGGCGCAGCCTGTATACCACCCTACAATAATAAATAACATTCTAGTGCAGCGGCCCCACATTGTTATGTAACCAAGACTGAAAATTCCTTAAATGTTATGTTATTTTGCTAAATGTGATTAAACTTACTGAGGGTTAATTATTTTTACTGTGTAAAATATTATATTATACTGATCATTTTTTTACTGTGCAAAAATTAATTAAATACTGATCATTAATCATTTTATACTGATCAAAATTGAATTATTTACTGAGCGCTTTATTATATACTACCCTATACTTATTGTCAGTAGCCATGGAAACGCAAATCTTAAATAAACAAGATTAAGGGCGCGAAATTTAAACCGTTGACATGTGCGTTGAAATCGTTGACCCTTTTTTTCATTGATAACAATAAAATTAATTATTTCGTTGAATGTCATGCAAGAAATTGTTTTAATGAAGGTCTGTGTCGCAATTATTGACGTATTAGTTTTTGATTTAAGTGATACAGAAATGAATGTGAAGAGACTCGATAACTTGCCTGGATTTGCTCGTTTGTGAGGCCAAAAATATGTTCGTCGATGGGATAGTGTTGGGAGACAGTTCTGCAGTTCACTGTAGTGACTTTTGTAAAGTTTCGTAAAAGGGATGATAGTCGATAAGCCATTATTCACTGTTTTTAATAACCTAAATGGACTGAGTGTGTTGAAAGAATGATAATAAATTTTTATCAAGGTTGTTTCTGTAATCACAATTGCTTGTTTTCACGTATAGGCAAGAAGCAATACACTTGGGCAAACTTTGTATACAACGCATTATTTAAATTGCATGAAAAAAATACAGTAACATAAGTAGGTAATCTACAATACGCCAAAAATAAATCAAAAAATTCTTCCGTACAGTTTTTTTATAAAAAAATAAAATAGCCAAAAATACAGGTTTTTTTAAATTTATTTTTAAACGGCACAGACAAAAAATTTGAAATTTATATACATTGCTGATAAGGCCATCAAAAAGCTATGATATTTTTTTCAGAATTTTTAAATAACGATTTATTTTTTTATTCAATATAGTTCAACTTTAAATAATTTATTATTATTATTATTGTGAGGATCTGAAGTATGTGTAAATAAAAAGTACCTACTGGGAAGTGAAATGAAAATGATTCAATCAGTGTGATTTATGAGACAAGAATTATATTAATTATAAAACTATACAGAAAATAATTAAAAGTTAAAAAAACTATGTTTTCCTACAATTTCTTCTTAAAAACATTAATAATAATAAAAAGTTTTTCAAATTTACAGTTTAACATTATAATAAAGCTTTTTACCTTTGTACTGTATAAAATCAATTTTTTTCAATTTAATAATTAAATTTTCAATTTTACAAAAGTAAAATAATGGGACCGTTTTTAGGTTCCAAAATTTCAAAAATTTGTGCACTTTTACAGGCTCTTAATAGGATTAAAACTTATCAAGATTCGATTAATTTCGAAGTTTTCAATTTTTAGATTTTTGTCATAATTTTTTTCAGGGTTCGGTACCCGGAGCTAATAACCCTGGAATTATTGGCGTCAGTTCCTTATATTGAAAAGCACATTTTTTTATTTTTTTAATTTAATTTCTTTTTTTTTAATTTTTTTCATATAAAAAAAACATTGTCCTACGATAAATAGTTATCGAGAAAATTGCTGATAACATCCAAAATATAGGATCGCTAAAAAGTGTGGATACAGTTAAATATTATAAAAACTATTTATCAAAACTTATTCAAATTTGGTATATGCTTAAAAGGCTTATAGCCTCAGATGTTTATCAAACTTCTATTTTCTTTTGTTCTGGAGATACAAGGCTAATTTATTTTTAATGTCAAGAAGAGTCAAATTCAATATTTCTAAAAAGAGTTCTGTGAAATAACACATGCATACCTTATTTAAAAAAAATATATCGAACTAATTAAATTTTGAAAAATGTAAATATTTTTTACCCTTAGAAATGTTGTCTTTTTCTGCTATTTTATTGGTTAATATTTGAAAAAAGAGAGGTGCATTGAATAGTAATTGTCGTTTTAAGCTAATGATTTTAGTTAATTGTATGCAAAATTAATTATTATCTGTTGTAAAAACACCAAAACTTGCCCTTTAATTTGTACAATTTGTTTAATTAAACTGAATAATAACAAGTAACAACAAAATAGGTCATTTATTTCAATTACAAACACTTTTAGGCCTATTTTTTTTTAATTGAAACAATTTTAGACAGATTTTTGGGTTATTATTTTTGTAAATCGCTGCAGTGCCCGAAATGAAGGTCATTTAAGATAAGGCACGAAAACAAACTCATTATGGAAGAGATAAACGTGCATTTAAAGTTTAATATCCAGTTTATTTCTCATTTAGTGTAATGATGCGTCTGGAAGTGCCTCTTTTAATTTTTGCCCTTACCATCGCAAGTGTTAAACCGAGTGAAATAACATTTGAAAATGTGACAGTTTGGATAAGTGCAGACGAAAAACTTGCAGAAATTGAGTCCTCAACCAGCCTCAAACAACACCTCCCTGACACTTCTCTCGACATAATCGCAATAACGGGGGAAATACCAGTTTTGTACGAAAATTCAGTCTCAAACATCTCCAATGTGAAGCACATTTACTTCCACGAAAACGAAATCCTTGACATTAAACCGGGAGCCTTCAAAAACCTGACTCTGGAGACCCTAGAAGTGGTTTACAGCAATTTAACCACCCTCAAAAATGGAATTTTCTCCAACGTTTCATTAAAAACACTCGAAATTACGTCAAATTTGCTCACAAAAATTGAGCCTTTTGAGGGTTTACCCACATTGAAAATTTTAGTTCTGCGTCACAATAATTTGGAAGACTTGGATGATGAGCACATTTTGGACCAACTCGTCGAATTGCAAGTTTTGGATTTGTCGTACAATAAAATTTCAGTGCTTCCCCGGAATTTGCTCGATAATTTGCACAAGTTAAAGACGTTTATGCTGCGGAAGAATAAGTTTTGGTACTTCCCCGAGATTTTCCCAAACTCGACTCAAATCGACATGTTGGAGTTGTCGTCGAATTTGATTTCGCAACTTCCTGGGGGCATTTTGGGTAATTTACAAAATCTGTCACGTCTCTACCTTTCATTCAATCATCTTGAGTCGATTCCCTCCAACGTCTTCAGTGGCCACCCAAATCTCAAAGAACTGGACTTGTCTTACAACAGAATATCTACCATTGCGTCCAATGCCTTCGACGACATGCCCCAACTAGTTAATATTAAACTTACGAGGAATAAATTGAAAAAATACGACCCAAACTGGTTTCACAACACTCCAAATTTGTATCAATTGCATTTGGCCAACAACGAGATTGAGGACCTTCCAGAAGGGGTTTTCAGGAATATTTTCAACGAAAAGAAGCAGTGGGTCTCTCTAAGTAGCAATAAAATTAAGACAATTTCTCCCAACGCGTTCAGAGGTTTTAAATATTTCGATACTTTGAATTTGGCGTATAACGAACTGGAGACTTGGGATGCCACTCTACTGGCTGATACTGAAGTGATTTTTTATTTAAATTTGGTACACAATAAAATTAAATGCGTGGGAGGTGATCTCGATCAAGCTTTTAAAGCTAATTTCACTTATTTGGGATTGAATCAGTTGACTCCTCAATGTTTGCAGAAAATTGTTGATTGGAGAGGAGATAAACTGGCTAAGGATAAACACGTAGTGTGCACCATCCCCTGTAATCTATATTAGATTGTTTTTGTTAATAATAAATAATAACAACTATTAATTTTGTTTTAATTGATGGGTGTTAGGCAACGTGTCTAACACGGGTGTTTTTTTGGTTGCATAGCACACGAATCTGCAGTTGGACGAAATGCAAGAAATCGAATGAAAATCGTTTTTTGGTGTTTTCGAGACACTTGGTTTTCATTTACAAGTTTTTCATTAAAAATATTAAAACACGAAGCTGAAATGAAGCTTTGTGATATACCGTGCGATCGAAAAATAATAAATTAGAGTAGGTGGTGATTAAAGTTTTTCAGATGGCAATCCTGATTTTTGACATCAAATGTCATTGGAAACTTTGAGAAGTTTGCGTTTTATTCATTTTGAGTGAAATAATATTCACTTTAGAGCAGAAAATTTGTATTGTTGCAAGTTATTACAAAAATGCTGTACAAGATGAAAAAATACCACTTTGTGTGGAAAATTTCCAGCAAAAGATGTTGCCAACTGTGGATTATTAATTTATTTTTTTTCGATCGGTATTACTACATCAAAACATTATAATAAAATAAACTAAAAGTCACATTTTTTTAGTTTTTCAAATTTATAGTTGTTGATGATTTAACATTGATAAAGCTTTTTATCTTTGTACTGAATACTTGACTGCCTATACCAACACTCAGTATTTTAAATATGATAAAACATATTAATTTTAGACTATGGAGAAATAAATAATGTATTTATTACTCTATGCTTCATAACTTAGACTGAAAACTCAAGAAAATCAATTTTTTTCAATTTAATTGACCCATGTTTATTTAAGATTTTTTTGTTTGTTTTGGTCCATACTATTACCTCCTGAAATATTTTATAATCTTTTCTTAACACCCTGCATATTTATGTAATTTTTTATTCTCTTGAAATGCATTTCGATTAATATTGAAGTTTTTAATTTTTAGATATTTGTCATAATTTTGTTGTTTTCGGTTCCCGGAGCGATCTATTGCCAATAACTCCGGAATTATTGGCGTCGGCTCCTTATGTTTAACACCGTTGAAAAGCACATTTACTTTTTCTATCATATAAAAAAATCATTATTCTACGATAAATAATTATCGAGAAAATTGCTAGTAAAGTCAAAAATATAAATTTGATAAACTATTGCGAATTTTGAAATTTTATTGACGACAATTGATTCTCCTGAACATTTTACATAAACATAGTTCAAACAATTTACAATATACAGCCTATCCCAAGTTTTAGAGCCGGCCCAGATACCAGGTACATGGAAAAAATGTTTAATAAATTCTATCTGTCAAAAAAATTTGACATTTATTTTTTGACATTTGACATTTTTTTATATCTATTTAAGGATACTGATGATCTTGTATATGTTTTTTTACAATTATTTAGTAAAGGGACAAAAATTTTGCCAATAAAAGCTACAAATAACATTGAACAGAGTTACAATTTAGGATACAGTTTCCTTGTTTCTTCTTTTAATAACCTATAGCAAAAAAACATGGAAAATTATTTTTCCAACAGAAATGAATAGAGTCAAAGTGCAAAATTTGAACCCTCATAACTTCGAAATTTTTATAGATAAAATTTTTTAAACATTTTTTCCATGTTCCTGGTACCTTACCTTATATGCCATTTTTCTCTGGGGCGCGAGTTCTGGCGCACCCTGTATAGACTTCAATTTAGTGCTTTGATATTGTTCAAAATTTTTTGCGTATGGCAGTGCGATAATAAGAACCAAATTTGGAAACAAAAAATTTCACTTAATGTTTCTAGTATTAATTGTGAAAATAGAATAATGCAAAACTTGATAGGTTTTGAGTAATTAACATTTTTTGCATATTAAACTTGATAAAAAATAAGTTCCATCCGGTAAGCAGATGGGTGAAGGTCGATCCTAATCGAATCTATTAAAGCTCATTAAAACGATTAATAAATCATTAATTAAATCATTATTGAATTGAAAACGATATGAATCACCTCTATTCTACCCTCTATTCTAAAACAACCTACAAGATAAAATACACAAATAAAGATCTCAGACTAGGTAATTTTTTAAATTTTCATATTTTTTCAATCTCATATTTTTATAAATATAAATCTATGCTAATATTTTTATTATA